AATATTAACAACTAAAGCCCTGTTTATAACTCGTTAACACAGGCAGCATTCACCGAGAGTAAGAGTTGGTGACATTGTGATCAATTAGGAGGACAGCATCGAAGTAATTGCGCAAAAACATTGCACTGTTTACAACTACTTTTCAAACCCAATAACGTTTTTTTGAAGAACAGAAAGCTGATTTATAGCCAGATAATCAGACCAGCATTACACCATGGGTGTGTCGCGGATAGCAAAGCTGCCAACTCTACTATCCAGAAGCTGCAAGTTGCTTAAAGTCAGACTCACAAAACACTCTTCAAAGTGCCATGATCTTCATGATTGACATGCTATGAGACCTTAGAATAGACCCGGTCAAAACATACATAAGGGACAGAGCCCTGAAGCTATTCGCGAAAACTGACAGACTGCCCTACTTAACACTATCTAATCTCAGAAGAATCACTAGCCGCGCGGAGCGGTACGCAGATCTATGATCAGTTAACGAATAATCACGAAGCTTTTGAGGAATACTTAAGTTAGTCAGCGAGAAGTGTGGGACCCTGCAGAGATCCCCAGTTATTAAAGAGTAAAAGTGCTCACATGCACTAACTAGGAAAAGGTTTAACATAAGAATAGAGAGAAAAAAATATATGTGATGTTCTTAATGCAGTGATGCCTGAATTATTGAATACTGATGTGCTACTGATAAATTTGAGAAAAAAAATTATTGTTGACAGCTATCGATATTTAGACGAAATTTATATCATTGGAATACTTTAAACTTTTTACAGAATATACCAGTATAGTATAATAGGTTCACATGAGTCAAAAACATATTTTTATACTGTAATGGTATACAACATATAAATAAAAGTGCTAGGTAACTGCACTAAATGTATAAAAAACAAATAAAAAACTGTTTAATAACTGATTTTAAGAGATAGAATGAAATCAGAAGAATTGGAAAAGAATTTTCAAGAGAGGAATTTTAGAAAACCATTATTTAAACAATTACAATATTGAAAAATATCAACTAACAGCACTAAAAAGAATTGACAAATAATTCAACAAAAAAATTTTGCATAAAATCTTTATAAATCTTTTTATTAATTTAATTCTACACATCCAGTTGAAATAGTTTTTAAAATACAATATTTTAAGCTAATGTTTGCTTAAATTAGCAAAGAAAATATGATTTGCTTATCCATACACTTAACTTAATTCAGTTAAATATTTAACATTCACCTGAACGCAACTGAACCAGTACAGCTAAACCGCATTAGAAATTGTGTCATGACTTGGAAGAGTGCATCGTCGCATTCAACATGGTGCAATGCAAATGACGAGCTCGTTGAATAGCTGAAATGGTTGAAATCAAAAGTTCTTTAACGCTGAAGTTCCACACTTACCATTTGTGATGACAACAACTGCACTTTCAACTGCAATTTGCACAAACGTTTCAAAGAGACGATGCATGCAGCTTGAGTTCTTGATAATTTCGCTTCTAATGTAACAGTTGCATTTGTTGCTGTCAACATAAATCAAGTGCATTTGTGCAGCATAATGAACTGCAACTTGAAATGCTCTCAATTTGAATGCTGCAAATTGTTTTTTTTCAATCTTCTGCTTTATTCCGGTTGGAAAAGCTAGAAATGTGATGCAACACATTTTAGAAATTTTTTTACTTTTCAGTGAAATGCAGCTGAGATATTCTGTAATATGTTAAAATTACATTCAATTCACCAGACAAATTTTAAATACTTATAAAATGTTTGATTGAGCTCTTCATTTTATAATTTAAAGTCAGAGTAATGAATAAGATATCAGAAATATATTGAAATAAATAAACCGTATTATTTTTATTATCCAATTTTTTACGCAGGAAGTATAGAAAATTAGTAATACGAGTATATGCAACTCCATGAGAAATATGGTTTGGAAGTTTTATCACGTCAACAAAATCCTTTCTACTCAGTGGTACATATTGGATAGTAAATAATTAATTAAAATAATATAAAAAAATAAAATTTTTGTTGTTGTAGTTCACTACTGTTGGAAAAAACCTCTTTATAGTAAATAATAAAAAAAATTTAGCATGATTTTATAGTCACGGTCCTTGAGGATTGTGACTCAGGCAGTATGTGATGATACGCAGAATTGTGATGATGAAGACTCAAAAATATGGCTTAAATGGCTCAAAAATAAAAAAAAAATAGGGACTGGTGTAAGCAGTTTATATATTAAAGAGCAGAGTTATTCATATGAAAATGATCGCTATTAGGGACGCCACAACTTATCTGGAGGTGGATAACATATTGAATTGAAATGTATACATACTATCAGACAGTTAAGCGGTTTTGAAATCCTTGAACTCAATTGAATTTATATTTAGAACATTGCTGAATGAGATGTCGACGTGGTTTAACATTTCTCAATTTTGGGTACTCTATCCTCTGGTCATAAGGATATTTAAGCCATTAAGAAAAAAGATGACCTGACCAGACGGGGTGCTTCTAGTAATTATATGAAACATCTGAAGAACTTGAGCACACCGCTAGCATCATGCAAAGAGTTGTCAACAGCAATACAAAAATGGGTGTCTATATTGCTCAATTTAATACAAGGTAAGATGACTTAATGATATGTGGGCTTCAGTATGCAAATTTGCCGCTATTTCCTTAAAAAAATTGTAGTATTTTCATTGAGATGTTCATTAAGATATAAGTCCTGTGATAGAATTGTTGATGGGTCTCAGTCACGTTTAGGGAACCACGATAGCAGGCCTAAGTGATATAAACTTTACAAATATAAAATTTAGTTAGAATTATTTTTGGAATTTTAAAAAGATATTTCACATCTATTAAAATGACACTATAATGGCAGCTATAATGGCACTTATGTCCTACCAGGTCACATCTAAACTGGTATGGAAGTGCATTGATAAGCAGAACCAAATATACTTAAACAATCAGGTTCACTAATTATGGATTCCGGGGCATGCTGTTATTCAAGGCAGTGAAATGGCAGATAAACTCGTAAGAGGCGCGGCTACAATAATGATATGCCCAGAAACTTTCTGCGGTCTAGGAAAAGGAACTCTATCCCTTTTTATGAATGCCGTAGATGAAAAGGAAAGATAACTCTATTGCAAAGGGTTACCTACCCTATCACAATCTGAAATGTTTTTAGGGATTTACAAACTAAAACATTTCAAGGATTGCATAGAAAAAAAAAAGAATAATCTAAAAATTATTACGGGATTACTAACCGGTCACTGTAGATTGAATAATCACCCAATAAAGTTAGAAATTCAATTCAGACTGCAGATCCTGTATAGAAGTGCCCGGCACTGATACACAAGCGGAAAAACACCTAGGAGGGTATTTTATGGAACATAGGAATACAGGATTAAAAAGATAGGCTCCATTCCATCTTTTATTAAAGAAATCGGTTTGGGAGAAACACTCAAATCCGACTAAGGGACATAATAGATTTTTTAGGTCGCAGTGTACTATCTCTTAAATATCATTACTATTATTCAATTATTGATATTAAACAGCCACATATATTCCAAAAATATATGTTTACTGTTTTGTGTACTTTGCGTTATATTCTCTTGCATATTGAAATGCGTTGCATACTCTCATGAAAATCGCATAGAAAAGTGCATATAAATATTTTGTCCCAAGCCTTTTTCACTTCTCTTGAATAATTTACAAATATCTTTTATTTTCACCTTTATAAGGTTATAAATGTGGAAAAAGTTTTTGCACTTTGCATTTTGTAGCTTCCATTAACATAAAACGTTGCAAATGGTTGAAGTTCTAAATAAGTTGCACTATAAACACAATAATTTTTGTTCTTTTCCAGTATGAAAGTTTTAACCGATGCGAAACAGTGCCTGCGGTGGTGCAGTTATTTCGACAAAATTTTTCACAGGAAAATTACTTTTTTACTTTGCCGTATACATAATGGAAGATTTTTATTTTTATCCTTTTCGCAACAAATTTTATTTGTCATATGGCAGCAGAGCAAAGGCGCAGTGCGGCATTGAGATACTGATTTCATACCGCAAATGTGCAAATTTACTTCAAAAGAATAGAGAATGTAACAAAGCCAGAAGTATGGACGTCATCTGAACTTTGGTACACTTTTAAAATAAATTTGTTAAATACAAATACTTGAACTATAAATTTATGCTTTACATACTTTTAACTTTTTGCTTTTTGCTTTTTGCTTTTAAATACAAAAGTAATAATTTCCTTTATCGCAAATAGCAGCTAGAATGCATCAGAGCTGCCAGTTGTTTCGAAAAATTGCTGCAAATTGCTGTGAATTGCTGATGTTGCTGGAATAAAAGGATCTCAAAATTGTCGCAAAGATGTAGATAAAAACTTTATTTTTCTTTAATAATTTCTTGAATTTTTCTCAATAAAATTTCTGTTTGCATAAAGTTAAACACAGCATTTGTATTTGTCAGCTTCTTGGGTAAATAAAATTTGTTCAAATTGCTAGAGGCACTTCAACTTTTATTCTTTGTTGTTTATTTTAACGCATTTTACTTAAATGCATTGTCTGCATTCGTCGCTCTCTAAAGAGTAGAGAATGCATGAATGTTGGATTTGAGTGCACGTCACAAGAATCAAAAAGCTTTCTGTGTTATATACAAAAACTACTTCTAAAACTAGAAGACAACGCTTTACGCTAATGCACTTTGGAATCAAACAGTCAATAAAGAATATAGTTTGTCTTTTTATATTACGTATTGCATTTTTTATTTTCGGTTTTTTATTTAAACTAAAATGTCATTGAATTTCCGTATGAACAAGTCCCGCAAGTATTTTTTCAAAAGCTTATTTCTTTCAAACATTTCCCCTGTTGTGATTAC